CCTCTACTCTTCTTGCTGTAATTGTCTTAGGAATCAGTCTAACTACTGTGTTGTTGATTTGTTGTGTGAGGTTCCCTGTGAGAAAGAAGTCTCTGATCTCCTCCACCACCGCTGGACCCACCGTGTCCCAATTAGCCTGGAAGAAACACGCTGAAAAGCCATCTGGTCCCGGGGCCTTATCAGGGTGTATCGCAAAGGTAGCTATTTTAATTTCTTCCCCCGTTGGAATGGCTGTTAATTTCTGATTTTGTTCCCTTGTCACACAGGGTTTCAGTGCCTTCTCCACTGTTTGTGTTCCATCATAGTTCGTTGCTGTGAAAAGGGATGAGTAGTATTTGCAAATGACATCAGCGATTTGCTCCTCTTCGAAAAACGGTACTCCTTCTTCACTTTCTATTACAGACATTCTGTTTTTTGCCTTCCTTCCTTTAGTTGAAGCATGGAAAAAACCTGTATTGGAGTCTCCCAGAGTTAACCATAGTTGTCTACTTCTTTGTTTCCAGAATTCTTCCTCGGCTCGATATAGATGGAGAAGTTTTTTGTTGATGTCTCTTATCAGCTCTTCATCTGCCACCGGAGCTGTCATGGCCTCTTCCAGTCGTTGTTTTAAAACCTCTAGCATCTTGCTGCTATCTTCATGGTGAGTCTTGCTCCACACACAAATAGCCTTCCTACACTTAGCGAGTCTCTCCTCTACTGGAAGATTATGATTCTCAGCCCAGACATCACTAATAAGCTGTTTGATTTCTGGGTTTTCCTTCAGTCTTCTGTCGAATCTAAACAGCTTGTTTCCTCTTTTTTTTGTGGTATCCAGGAAAGAGAGTAGGGGACGATGGTCGGATCCCTCGAACTTGAGGTATTGGCTTCTGCAAGCAGGATAGAGTTCTGTCCACTCACTGTTGCTGAGAGCTCTGTCTAGGCGACAGCGTACCAAGTGTAAGTGTCTTTGTCCTCTCCAAGATAGAAAAGGTCCTGAAAACTTTAGATCAAAAAGACCATTGCTTGATAGGAAAGATCTGAAGGCTACGAAAGTTCCTTCGGCTCTGATAGTTCCCCCACATTTCTCGCTATTGTCCACAATTTCGTTAAAATCTCCAGTTAGGAACCACGGATCCGTGGGATTTGTCTGAAGTGTGGATATCTCTTCCCATACTGCCAGTCGCTTTGAATGGTCTGGTTCCCCATAGACGAACGTAGCGTGGAAAACTTTGCCTTTATATGAGATTGTAGTATCAATGTAATTCTTAGTTGCCGAATTAACATGTAGATCAATGTCTTGTCTCCAGGTCAGATAGAGTCCACCACTCCCAGGAGTAAGTGGTGGTACAGCCATAAACTTTTCGGAGTTAAACCATTGGAGTTCCTTCCGAACCATGTCCGTGGGGTTTTTTGTCTCACAGAGAAAAATTATGTCAGGAGCATTTTTCTTATGTATCTCCTTAAGCCTCTGGACTGTTGTGGGATTCCCCAGACCACAACAGTTCCAGCTCACCATCACTAAGGACCCGGGGGTAGAGAGGCCCGAAAATCCGGGTTTCTCTTCTTAGACGCTGGGATTAGCTGGATGGGAGGGTTTGTAGGATGTGCAGAGGTCGTGTTCTTCTTCAGCTTAAAAGTTTTTTGAGGATTTTCTCGATTCTCAAGCTCTTCAGAGCCTTCCCCGCCTCTACTTGGTGATTGCTGAATTTGTGAGATTTTCCTTTTCTTTGAGCTAGTACCTCTGAGTATATTTGGACTGAGTCTTAACGGTTTACTCTTGTTTAACCTACAGGTCCTTCTTCTTGCTTTTATCTGAGCCCCTCTTAGTGTTTCGCCATCTTCAGGGATCTCCAAAGCGTGCCCCTCCCCTTTCGAAGGTATATCTTCTTTTTCGAAAGGACTAACAATCACTGATCTGATTCTTGTAGATTTTTCGCCTCCATCTTCTGATCTTTCTACCCTTGTTTCTCGAGGTAGGTCCTTGTTTCCTTGCTCCGAGTCCCCCGACCCTTCCCTTCTTGTTGGGGGAGTGAACATAACCGGTGCATTCTGGTAGGGGTAGATCTGGAGTTGTTCCTCATTACGAGGGGGAGGAGTAGGTGGGTTACTGTCTGAGAGCCTTCGCTGCTCAAAAACCGGGTGCTGTTCCTGTGTAGCTGCAAAGAGCCTTGCAGCTGTTTCTTCCATGAGACCATTGGCATCCGAGTAGAGAACCCTTTGTCTTCGTGCTGCCGCCTCCACTGGGTCCGCGCAATTGATGTATTTTCTTGTCACTTCTTGCAGCTCTTCCATAATTGCTTGCTTTGCAGGATTTTGCTCTCCGTCCGTAGCTAACGGGTAGGTTGCGGGTGGAACAATAAGCTCTAGGGAGTTATTAGGGACCTCAATGTCATTGGTAGATCTACCTTCTTGTCTGTCTACTTGCTTTGGTCTCCACTGGCTTTGGTTTTTCTGAGGGAAGAGGTCTCTTCTCTTCTGGTAGTCCCTTTTAGTTGCTTGTCTGCTCTGTGTGTATTGTGGGGAATAGTACTGATGAGAAGGTTCTTCTGTTGTTTTTATGGCCCTCGGGTTTTCAGTTGGACGCTCATTCCCTGCGTAGAGAATTGGAGGGGGTACCCGTGTCTGTTTCGTGCTAACTCGGTCTCCAAACGGGTTTCCATATCTATCAAGTCTGGCATTGAAAGCAAGCTGGGTTGTACTCTTTTGTTCCTCATGTTGTGCAGTTATTGCGGCCTTAAAAACTCCTTCTCTTTTCGGGATTGAGGTAAGGGAGGCGTTCTCATCTTCCTCTCTGAGTATAGAGCAGTTCTTTCTAGCATGCAGGAGGGAGTTGCAGCGAGAGCAGTGTGATTCCAGACGTTCGTACTCCAATGAAACCGAAGTTTCTTCTCCTGAATCAAATTCGATTATAACCTCCTTGGTTAGAGGTTTGAGTCCATCGACAGAGACTCTGACCCTCGCCGTTGTCCTTGTGAGCTCATGGTTCTCAAGTGTACCTATCTCTTGCCCAACTCTGCAGACCATATCATCGTGCCAGTAGTGGAGTGGGATACCTTTGATTCTGACCCAAAAGGGTATCATAGATGGGAAAGAGTTGGAGATGACTGGTTCCCATCTCTGCAGGATGACCATCCAGTACGCGAAATGGTAAGGTCTGTTGTCCAGGACTCTTCGAATGTCCTCTTCTCTTTCAAATCTGAACTGAAAACAGTTATTTCCCAGATCTGAGCCTATAGCTCTGCCTTGCAGATTCCATTTGCGCGGTAAGGCCGGGATTAGAGCCCAAATCTTCTGCTCCTTTGGGTTGGTGATTCTTCCTATCAAGGTAAGAGCATTGTCTTTTATAAGAGCTGAGGTATCTAGAGATGGTGCCCTGATTCTTCTGACGTTGTTTTGTTGTCCTTCTTTCATGATGCCTTTCCCTTTACCAGAATCGGCAAAGCGAGTCGTCATGAGGTGCTTTTCAGTTAGTATTCGTTACTGGAGGAGTTGGAAGTCGACTCCTAGTACACGTTTACTCGGTTGAAAGCCAGGAGAAGGTTGTGATCTTGAGGAAACTGGGAGATCGTGAGATCTTCGACGTAACTGTTGTGATGTGAGGAGAGATTGCTGTTTTTTGCTGCTACGGGAAGAAATTTAGGGCCAGATCGGAGGTGAAAGACGTCTAAGAGGTTGGATGAGTTTCGTGGAGGATGCTACTTCAGGATAAAGAGTAGGGCTTCCATTAGGGGTGGTGTGAGAAACCAACGTATTCTTTCCTTTAGAAGCAAGAAAGTGAGTGGTCACTTTCACTCTAATATCCGTTGGTTCCTTGATTGACCTCTTTCTTGGACTCCGTGTCTGGGAGAGTTTTTCTCACCGAGACCAATCAACTTTCCAACAGACTTTATTTCAAGACACTATAATGCTACTTTCATTAGGCATCATTGTCTGCAACACCAGATTTGCTGCTCCCTCCTTCATATGTCTTCTTCGTGTCATCAGATGGGCGGAAAGAAGGTCCCCCTACTTCAGGTGCAACATCTGCAGCCTCGTTGGTGACACTTGCATCAGGATGTTGCTGTAGCGTACCTATCTGTACATCACAACATGCAAGTGTCCCATCTATGTATGATATTAAATCACACATCTCGGTTTGAGAAAGGTCAACAATGCTACGTTCACCTCTCAGCAGTTGGAACATGAGCTCATACATCTCCAACATCTTATTTCCCTTCTCAATCTGGTCTAGTTCCTCCTGCACATTCATGATTTTGGTCTTGGGGTATGACTCTACATCCACAGGTTTTCTTGCCATGGCCCTCGCTTTTAGTTCTTTCTTTAACTCCTTAACTATTATTGACTTCCGCCATTTGTCTCGTTCCACCAGCTCCGTCAAATATCGCCTGTGGTCTACTTCCTTCTGCATCTCTGCATCATTTTTGGGGTATGAATCTAGATCATCAGATTTTCTTTTCATGGCCGTGGCTTTTAGTTTCTTTCTTTTAGTTTGAGATGTTGAAATATAGACATGCACTTGTAATCGTATATATAAGACACAAAAACTGAAGTTTCTTTGAGTTGTAGTGTTACGTGTTAACTACTAGCAAATGTCCTGTCCACATCTCGGAGAATAATAGTTGGTAACAGAGATTAGCCACCAACCACTTTAACACATTATAATGCTCACTTACCAGTTTACCACACTGTGCTTAGGTCTTAATATATTCACCTAATTTTAAAGATTTCATTCACTCTAACCTCTTGTCTGTACTTGAGTGGGTAATGATGAATAAAACGGAATCACCTACCTATACCCCACAAAATCAGAGCTTTCCAAAATTGTTAGCCATTTTGGACATTTAGCTCTTATACAAAAGAATAAGATTAGAGGTTGTATTGTGTTGTAATATCTGACTCAGTGCAATATATAACTCAAAGGAGAATCAGTCTATCAGTTTACCATTGTAATGGTACTCTAAGCTGTTGTGGCATAGTGAAACACATAAATCTTATTGTTTTGTTTATACAAACATACAAAACCGTTTTAAAGATATCAACAGAGCAGAAAGCTTATGTAAAATTTCAAAATCACAAACATGTAAACACCCAATCATTTTCTTAAGGCATCAACGAGTAATAGCACTGAAACAATGAAAAATATGCAATGGTCAGAAATAAAAACAACAAGACATGGATGAGGCTAAAAGATTGTGTTGGTCTCGTTCAAGATGACGAGGAGAGACACAATAAAAGCATAGTCAACGCCTGCATTTATCCTAACCACAAAGTCTTGTTTCTCTTTAAAAAATCCTCCAAATGTCGTCTTCTCCTTCACCTGATTATAAAAATAAACAATAATAAAAAAAAACTTTTGACAAGTTCTCATGCGTGGAGTCCAAGGATGAAACATGCTATTGGATATGTTAATTACCTCGGCGATGACAGCGTTGGAATGGTAGACCTTGGCTGAGTCGTCGAAGTAAGTGCCTACAACGCTGAAGTTACCAGGGAGATGATGATGATGATGAGATTGAAAGAAGACATCGAGGCGTGCTCTCCATTGAAGAGCATTAGAACGTTTCACTGTGAACATCAGCTCCGTTGGATCTGAGCCTTCTCCTCGGTGAACCGTCCATCCATCATGTAACGATGTCAACTATATATTGTATATTATATAGTTTTGGTCATGATAAGATGTTACATGATGAGGGAAATATTTGTTTAGTTTATAATAACATAGTTAGTTAGTTAGTTAGTTAGTTAGTTACCTTCTCGCGCATTGTGAGTAGAGGGTAACCCGCGGGATCACGAAGAACACGTTTCTTGCTGAAGCTGTCGTGAGGACCGTCGACACGGAGAACGACGTTAGAGTTGAGGTCAACCACGTCTAGCATCGCACCGCTAAGGCCTTTACATTTCTTCTTGACTGTTAGCTGGAGTGGGTAAGGACAGCAGAATACGTCACTCACCACCGGAACGTTCGTGGTCTGTGCAGCCACGGGTGTTCCGATCGCAAATCCATAGTTCATTTGCTGATACGGATCAGTCCCTGCCATTGCTTCCTCTTTTGAACTATTTTCATTGTGTATGTGTACAATATATAGGCAACAATGAAATGAAGAGATGATGTTAGACTCTAGCTCGTTTTTTCAACACGGGTTTTGCATATTTTAATAACTGGTAGAATGGTCTTTATTCATTCAGTTCATATTGCAATTCTATGTTCGATAGTAAGGAAAGTAATTGTATTTGACTATTCAATACATCGCATAATGTTTTGTATCTGGAACTTTGGTTATCCAGAGAAGTTACTCGGAAACAGTAATAAATAACAATCAAAGCCAGAAAATAAACATAGTCAAAGACTCAGACATCGAACAGAGATAGAATTTCAACGGTCAATAAATCATTTGTATTATTTTCCCAGCTTTAGACTTTTACATTTTATTTAGTACAAGATTTCTTGGATAAAATTCAATAGAAATATTCGTTTTCACAATGTAATACATTTGAAGAAAAAAAAACATTGTATTTTAGCAAACGCCTAAAAGGCTCGGGTAAAAACTGTAATTTCTCTACAAACTGTGCTTGTGAAAATCAATCGTTTTATACAAAAGTGTTTTTTTGTCACTGAACCAAAGACGAAAAGAAACAAACTAAACGAAGGTAACTGAGCACCAATAGATGAAAGCATATCGGTTAGGCGTGGGATTTGGGGATTTTGTACTGTTTTTTCAGAAACAGAGAAGCCTCTGAATCGTTTCTGTGGCACAAGACTCGCACCAGTGTTTGGGTGTCAGCTCCAAGTTTGCCTCTCCCTCCTTGCTGCATATCTAGACTGCTTCTAGACCTCAAGTCATCGATAAGCTCTCGTGTCTGTTGCGTTAGTTATAAGCAGAGTCAAAAATAAAAGATTGGCATACAAAACCGAGAAACCAAATGTCCACACTTTAAGTAAGAAGATTAATGTACTAACCTCGTATCCGTGTAACTTTACGACAAGACGAACACGGGCTATTTGGTTTTCAACGACTCCTCTCGGAAGTCCATCCCCGCCAGAAATAAAGAATTCCTAGTAACCATTAATTTCCATGAGCACTTGGGGGCATGAAGATGAGTAAGCGTTAAAGAAAGAGCTACCTTTAAGACCTCTACATCTTCTTCTAGTAGCTTTGACTCGCTTGGATGAAATACACGTGATGGGCCTCCATCTAATAGTACGCGAAGCAATCCGTCCTGGTTAAGATTATGAATATAATTTTATGTATCAAAAGGCAAACACTTGAGAGATTTGTCAATAATGTAAACAAAACCAAATGAAATTAGACTACATACGAGTGATGCTTGAAGCAGGCTTGTGACCACCCGATCCCTCAGTGGCTCCATTATGACACTACATAGCTGTCCAAGTTCCTGGGCAAAGTAATTGGAACTTTTGAGTTAGCATTGTCGACAAAAAATGATGTTGCCTGTACAAATCTCAAGATCGTCAAGGAAATGTTATGCTCGAATGGCTTCTAGGCACCACACTATTTAGAAACCCAAAATCTCACTACTCTGTCCGGTGCAGAGCTCTTGTTAACTTTCAGATGCCTGGCATATGTAAAAACAAGGACTTGTTTTTAAGATCAGAGTTCTTACTGTGTCAAGGGGTTCGATTAATGCTTCCAATCTCGATTGAGAAACACTTGGCTTGTAAAGATTCTCAATTAGTGGCTCCCTTAGATCGCAGAAGATAATCTTCGTTCCTGCAGTGTGAAAGAATCAAGATTAATGCAGCCCTTTGATGATGAATACTGTACTTCAAGGAGTTAAAACAGATGACATCTCACCAGTAAACTCGCAAATACGATCCAGAGCTGCATTGATATCTTTTCTGCTCCCCTCAAAAGATTCCTTCTGGTTAACACTCTGAGTTTTCTCAACCAAAGATTTTCCTTTAAAGTTAACCAAATGAGAATGTATCATTCATTATGGCTATAACATAGATTCAGGGAAGAATAACAATTTCGTAAAGGAAAATGAACTTTAGAAATAATGGAGCAGATAGATAGTCCATACTGATGACAATCTTTTCGCGAGGCCTTTTGGCTATCCATCGCTCCCATATGCTGTCTTCTAACTTGCTCATTTGACTAACAGCATACTGTGAACAAACATATTAAAAGGTTATAGATAGTAGCGAAACTTATAAATGGTACTTGAACTGAGGAAGCGAGTCTTGAAGTTACATGTAAAGTATTGAGCTGAACGCAAAGAACAGCAGTTGCAGGAACATCAATGTTAGTCGACCATCTCTCATCCGGCAGTTTTGACTCGAACAGTTCCTTCTTAACAAAAACCTTGATTGCTGCTTCCTTCTTGTAACGAGTAAGAACAGGCACAGGTGGAACCAGATCATCCTTGCTACCTGGAATAGAACGAAAATCAGTATCCAGGTTAAGGGAGACAAAAACTTAATAACTGTGGCTTATAAGAATATAAGCTAGCCATTTAAATTTCAGAGCTCAGAAGCAGATTCAACCAAGTCGATGCATACCTAGCTTCTCCATGACATGGTTAGTATATACTTGAAATGCATTGTCAATACCACGAAGTAAAGCGCCTAGTTCAATGGATCTCATTGGAACTTTCAGCTCAAAAAATTGATCAACAGTCTGCATCAAAGATTAGCCAAAACATTAATTAGACAGCTTCATTCAAGCCTTCTAAGCTTTCTCATGCAGAATATTTTCAGACTAGAGTTGAATCAAAATCTAACAAGTATAAGGTCACAGCAAACTGAACACAAATTAAACATATGCTTCAAGCAACTGATGATACTTGGTACAACTTGTAAAATCCCTACCTCTTCTACGATCCTGAAAACTTCAACAATTGAGCTCCCATGCCGCTGTTGAGGTGATATTGGGTCCCAATGCTATAAAGAAAAGTTAAGATGTGTTATAGTTCAAAAAAATAGTAAAGGACCTACAAATAGAAATATATTAAGATGCAGTCATTCAACAGATCAGCAAACGACCAAATCTCACCTCTTGTTTAAAAGCTCGCTCCACCCAGCTCAAAATTCTTCCCAGCTGTGCATTGATCCATCTCAAAACCAATGTGCCAGAGAGAGATTCGAGCTAGCAGAATAAAATTAAGAAATATTAGAGCCAGCATGAGTGATCTTTAAATTTGACCCTGTAAGGTGGCACAGCCATTTTTCCTAGATTTCAAAGTAAAACATATGCTAGTCTAACCTCATATGGAATTAATTTTCTGAAGTAAGGTCCATTTGTATCCTCTCCGCAGACAGAGGTCATTAGCTCCAGTAAATATTGCTCAAGGCTATCAGCCACAGGAAAAACAGACACTACATCCTCAGTCAAGTGTTCAGTACCATCAAGAAAAGGTTTCTGAAACAAAATACAAAGTCAAGATGTCAGTTATAGTTGACATGTAGTAACCAAAAAGTAATAAGATGTGAGGGACGCCTTACCAACTTGTTCCCATAAAGCTTGTGAACAAGGGAGGCAGAAAACGCAATTGCTTGTGGATGTCTCTGAGATAATATTGGCATAAAGATAGTGGAGTCCTTTTTCATAAGTTTCTTTGTCTCCTCAGCAAGCAATGCCAAAGGGTGCTCGCTATTTCTGTCTGATCTATCAACGGTAAGTGACATCTGTAAATTGCAAGAATCAGCCTCATCATACCATTCATATTATTAAGCGACAAAATGTAAACAGAATTTTCTCAATTCTTAGAATCTCACAAATGATAACTGATATCCATCGTTAGTCTAGCATTTAGAAGTTTGCTAAACACTTACCCTTGTGAACGTATTCTTGATGGAAGATGAAATATATGACTCAATTTGCTCTCGATCTGAAGAGCTAGAATGCATCGCCTGTAAAGAAACTCAGTTACAACTACAGAAGTGATGTTGGGTAAACTATATTGCTTCACCATAAAGCAGATTACATACTCGATCAGATTCCTCCAACAAGAGCCTCCAAGTAATCATTGCAACTGTAACTGTATCCTCCATGACAAGTGAACCCTGCAAAAGTTGTAGAAAAAGAACAAAATAACTTACTTCAATGGTATAGAGAGGGTTAACTACTGAGGCTTATGTGTCCATATACAACAATGCCACACAAGGAAGACGGCTGATCCTATATACGACTTACTGAAACTGTATTGAAAGTAACTTCTGTGTCTGAACACAATAGGTAATACCTCAGCAAAATGCAAATGGTAGTCGCCCAGCTGCTTATCGGCCCAACTCCGTATAGGTGACAAGAAGGACTCCAGGAAGGATATCTCTTCATTTTCAACCCTACACTGCAAGGTTTTCAAGTGTATGCGCTCCTGAGGCCCACGTTGTTCTTTTAGAGGGATTTTTTTCAGCTGCTGAATAGCATGTCGCAGAAGTCCGCGTTCACTAGTGATTACATACTACAACCAAACAAAATACTCATAAAGCTACAGTAAAGGGTCCAGTATTAAGCATCAATATCATTGTAATAAAGGAATTTTCTTCGCCATCACTACCTGCCGAAATAATACCCAGGCATAGCATGTGTAATGAATGGTCTCTGTAATTCCAAGAACACGCCACGTTGATTTCAAAAGCTCAAGAATTTCTTCCACTTCCTGACCAAGGTTATTTCATAAACATGTCTTAGAAAAAACAACTATAAACTGAATGGCAATTTGTTACTTTTAGTGTATATGGGAATATCAATATGAGTAAACATAAAAAATAGGATTCCCAGCAGCTTAACGAGTGATAGCTGAGAAGACGAACATAAACCTTTCAAATCGATGAAAATTTTAAATGACAAGGATTACTGATGCTGGAAAATGTATTAAACAATATTTTGACAGAAATCACCGACCTCTGTGAGCTTCCCTTCATTCAACATGTCAAAGACACAGAGAAGCAATTTTTCATATAGTCTGACGTTCAAATGATAACCATCAGCCCAATGACACACTTCACCCGTCAAATCACCACGAGCCGGTCTCTCAGCAAGTGAGATAGCAACTTCTGTAAGAGATTTTAAACATTCTGCTCTTTGCACTTCTCCGGATGAGGATGGAAGAGACTACAGATAGAAACGAAAGTAAAAGAGAAGTGAGAAACATATTATGAAACCGCTAATATATGCCAATTAAACTTTCATAATGGATCAAAGCCGAAGAACTTATGATAGGTAAGTGTGGAAGTAGTGACATATAGAATGTGCATGTTCTTAAAGAGAATCTTCAAGGGAAACCTACCTGATATCTACACCATGTAATAAATCACATGAACATAAAGTAGAAAAAATACCTCTGATTCTTCAATTCTTTGCAGAAGACTCTTCAGGTCAGTTGCCTTACGACCTGATTCTCCAAATCCAACGACAGGATGGTTAATGAGCCCCTCTGCTAACATGTTTAACTGAGATACCAAAAATTAATAGATGACAGAACCAAAATATAAAATGAACGAAGGGGTCAATATTATAACTCGATGTGAGAAGGTGGTCTTTACCTGTCTTTTCTGCCAACGTAGGTATGCTTTCTTGTCAGAGAACTCGGTACGAGACACACAACATAACAATTCTAACGGTACCAGGAGGCTGTCCATTCTTTTTCCAGCTTTTCCAGCTAGAGCATTAAGCAACCCCTGTCTTGTCCTGATGTCCATGGCTTCAGATATCTGTATGAGCCCAAATGATTGATTGCCAGTTACATAACAAATACAAAAAGTGGGTGAACTGTGATTATTCATAAGGCAGTGTATGCAACAGTGCAGAAAACATAACACAATGCATTTAACAGACGGAAAGAGTACACGGAGGAACGAAGGGAATAGTATCCAACTGCATACTAAAATCAATGGAATCCGGGACATTTAGCTTACAAAAATTAGGATATCAGAACGTTTTTTTGGAAAGTATCAAGTAATAACTGTGTATAGTCCATGTTCAAACAAACCATATATGCTTCTAACAAATGAGATAAGAACGAAAGATTTACCTCCATTTGGCCCCGCATCATTTCCAAAAGAGCAACCAATCCGGATGAACTTTGAGACTGAGAAACACTCTCACTTTTGCGACCAAGCTTTTTAATCAGCCTCGATCTGCGTTTCTCATTCTTTTTCTCTTTTGATGGTACTATCAGACCCCTATATGATTATAGAATACATGTTGAAAACATATGTAAGAGAAGAAAGATATCAATGACAATAAGACTCTAATTACATAAGAAAATTAAAAAAGAAGCAAGTTGAAAATGTGTATACCCAGAGGCTCCAGCGCAAGCCAACAAGATTTCAAATGCAGTTTCACGGAGATCATCATCTGTAATACCTGAAACATAAAAAGTAATGTGAGTACTACTTATGGTCCCGTCATAGTTAGCTCTGGCCATCGGAAGGTATAAACACTAACTATAAGCATACAGTCACTGTTTTGTTTGAACTAAAAAGCCCTGTCTACCCAATCAAATAACAAATAACACTTGTTTTTTTTATCAGTTCCATCTCCTAAAGATATGAACACTTACCAGTGGCAAAGGATGGCAGTTTAGGCACAAGATCAGCCGCATCATTAGCAGTCCGCCTCGAGATCCTGAAATTACCAACATCCTCACTGTCATCATCATCCTCAAAGTCCTCAATATCATCAACAGTCAGCTCTTGAGCAGGTGGCGAATCAATAGACTCCGATCGCATCAACGGCGGCGCAGACGGTGACTCACACCACTCCGGATTCGTAGGAATGGACGAGGATGAGGAAATCAATATAGGAATAGACGGCGGCGCTCTTTTAGGAGGCGAGCCAGATGATTCAGGATTCGTAGCCAAAAAGAACTCATCAGCAGTCCCCACACTATTCTGAAATAAGCATCATAACACCCAAAAAAAAACATTAAAGAAAAATAACTGACACATTGTTTTTCAACAAATGAAGAGTCATATATATATATATACCATATAAGGTAATCCACTGTGATCATGATAGTCCCGAATCGCTTCAGAAAGCTCCAGCATTCCACCTGCATTAAACCAGCATACACATTAGAAATACGCGTTATTAACTGTAAAAGCAAATGAATAGAAGCAAAGCTTTAATCACCTTTCTTAGCACAGTTGATGACATAATCAACACTAACTTGATCTAAATCCACGTCATCAAGAGTGACAGCTCCAGGAGGCATGATCACTTTCTTGATTAAGCTACCGGCCAACATGAAATCCAAGAGTTTACGCCTATCACGGCGATACCTCTGCAGAATCTCAACAGCATTTTCTCTACAAAGCCAGCACACGGATCCAAAAGTTAGAACTAAAGGAAAACGGAGATTGTATAGGCACTAAGTTAGATTCATACTCTTCCATCTCGATCTAGATGCGGTTATAGTCCGTTGATTCTCAGATTTCAATTCAACCTGTAAAATCAAGACGCAATCAATTGAAACTTCAGTGAACTACTTAGAATCCTTTAAGTAGAGTGCATTGAATAGAGGAATCTAGTTTTATAAGTCTAATTACACTGAGCTTACCAATCATCTCCGTCAGATTCCTCGTGATGCAAGAGAAAGAAAACAAACACTTAGTAGCGAAGATCGAATCTCGTGAGATGGCAGAGAAAGTTGTAAATCGATCCAACGGATATGAGTTGATCTTGAAATGCCAAAAGTGTTTAGAGAAGTTCGAGTTGAGCAAATCTAGAGGACGGGGCTGTGGGGGAAAGATCTATCTGTACACACACGCACCCTCGCGTCTTCCGAGTTTGAGGTAAAAAAAAAAAGTAATTAGAAAAGGTCAAAAAAAATTAGAAATAAAATAATATCTATAGCTGATTTGTCTGCGCTATTATCTTCGTTTTTTCATTAATTTTCGGGGTTCTTTTGTGATTCCATTCTAAACCTCACTCATGTCATTAAATATACTTTACACTATAAATTGATGTAAGTAGTTTTTCACATCATACCGCAATTTTTTAACATGAACATGTTATAGACTTGTATTTAATATCTACAGTAGTGCTCGTTCTCTCATAATAAAATTATGCATTGATCTAGAACTTGGACTGTGGAAATTCCTTAAGCTCGGTCACTTGTATTCCTAAATCACTTGGTCATTATAGATTACAAACCAACTAGAAATGAGCGTAAGGCCCAAACATTAAGAGCGAAAATAAAATCATGATGTATTTAAGAAAGAAAAAAATGAGATCCGCGAAAGAAAGAGAGTATCTAGTCGTGTTGTAGCAAATACCTAGTCGTCTTGAGTACTTTCAGGCTTGTTGTTGGCCTTCCACAACATGATCTCTGCTATAAATTCAGCAATCTTTTACTATTATGAAAAGCCCAATAGATGGGTTTACAAGGTTTGAAAATCCATCACTTTTTAATATAAAGCCCAATATGTGGCCCAAACCTACAAACAAACGATATGATAAGTGTTTTAGTGAGTACTAATCATAAGGAAAAACTAATACGGAGTAGTATAAAACAATCTCAAGAACTTAAATGCAAAATTAATGTAAAAAAATCTGTAAAGTCTATTTTTGGAAAACTGCTAACATTGATGAGAAGATAAAAAGAGGAAACATTATCCACTATGCCCTTCATCACATAAACAACCGGTCCCACTCCACCGCTTGACAGTCTGTGATGTGTCCTCACCTCCTATACACTCAGGACACGTGTAAGGACACAATCGAGTGAACATGGCACGCGTCGGCGAGACTGTGAGCTAGCCACTGCCTAAATCTGGAGGGTGTTTCCGTAATCACACAACAAAAACGAGCAAGTTGGCCAATAGCTGGAAGATTTTACTTTATTCAAATGCCGACATCACACAGAAAAAGATATGGCCAACACGTGGACCAATAAGAGAGTTGCTTTAGATGGAGGAGTAATCAGAGCCACAAATCTCGCCCGTGAATCCTCTGCCACTAAAATTAGTTAAAAACCCCACTTCTTGTCTACTTGCTCTCCTCTTTGTCTTCTCTCCTTCACTCACAAATCTAAAAAGACAGAACACAAACCCATACTCAAAAGAAGGATACTTCTGATTCAGATCTGAAACAAAGGTTAGTTCTTTATGTTCCTGTGTGTCTTAAAAGGACAAAGGTATTGACTTTGGATTTGTTTTGTTTTTTTTCAATAGTTATGGATCGTTATTCGAGGAGGAACACAGAGGATCTTGTCGTGCCTAACTATCAAGAGACATCGGATTCATATCCATCTCCTGATATGTGGGGTGGATGGAGTATGAACTCGCAGAAAGCTGTTGAGAAGTGCTTTGACTTCGATGTGATTAACAATGGATTCAGCGGAGGGTTATATAGTCAGATGGATATGGAGATGGAGACTGGTACGAGTGGAGATGTAGGAGAGGAATCAAAGAGGTTAAAGTCTTCTGATGGTTGTTTCTACAACTCTGCTTCGTCGCTTCATGATTTCGATGGAATCCAACAGATGGATGACGTATTCTTGTATAGCCCTCAAACACTTAAGAGAAATTGTTTATATATATAATAATACATGAAGAGATTCGGATATAATTGTTGTTTGTATTTTTTGTCATTCTTTTTTTTTCTTCTTTGTTTCCGGTTCTGACTGAAGAAGTTCCATTTTGGAGGATGTTCCAGGGAATGGGAATCTCCACTGTTTCAAGGAGTCGGATAACAACAGCCCTGGTGGCTCTTCCTCTGTTGCGTATCTCGACACTCTTGATGGCGGGGAAGTCCCGATGTATCAATACAACTGGGAAGCTTGTAATGACATGCCTCTTATGGTATATAGACATGTCTCTTTTTTATATATGTCAAAAAATAGTCTATGAGTGTTGATGTTAGAAGGGATATGAACTTGGGTACAGTAGTGTGAGATGTTGATTTTTGGAATATTATTTTGGTTAAAAGGAGGGGGAGGAACCAATGAAGATGTCGGATCTGTGTGAGGAGAACATGGAAGAGCCATCTACTGAAGAAGTTGTGTTGCAGGATCTACAGAGAGCTACTGAAAAGGTAAAACTGTGGTCATCTTGAGAATTTTTCCTGATATTTGATTAGTCTTTTGACAGATATTGTTACAATCTTTAATTACAGTTGAATGATGTTACCCGCAAATGCTTCCGGGATACTTTCTACCGGCTTGCAAAGAACTCACAACAGAAGTGTGAATCAGGCAACATTAACTCAGAGGAGTTCCTCCAGGATACAACCTTCAGGTAAAGAGACTTCTTGCTGCTTAAAAATAGATCTTAAATTATGTAAAAGGCTCATCACTATTATCTTTGATTTTCAGTGGGAACATAAACCAGAAGACCGAATCTGAAACGAACTCAATAGACAGAGCAGTCGCGAACCTCACGTTCAACAATATGGAATCCAACATGAGGAATTTGCCTCCACCAAAGAGAGTTTCTTGTAATCAAGGGTAAGAGAAAGCTTCAGAACAAGAAACTCATCACCATCTTTGATGTGTATATATATATATATATATATAAACAAAAAACAAAAATATTATGTGTGTGTATGTTTGCTTTGGCTTGATTTTCCAAGCTTCAGTTTTGATCTGCCCAATACACTCTGATCAAGCTTCGTTGACTTTGTTCTTCCTTCATTTCTTGATGCAACGTGTTGTTTACGGAATAAAATCAATATGTAAAAATGAACTTACATCAGAACCGTTGTTAAACATAGGTCAAAAGATATTCTTTAGAAGCTTTTCATTAATAAATATGTAAAAGGAGACCACATAAACATATGCAAGTGGGAAACAACCTTTAAACAGCAGCTTAGAGAATTAGTCTTATGTAACCACCACACCACACATAAACATCAAATGGTGTCACTAAAACAACACTAGATTAATACATATCTCCCCCGACCATAACTAGAACCGGCGAAACTCATACATCACTTATATATATATATCAGAAAGTCGCAGACTTAAACAAAGATAATACAAAGACTAACTCAAACGTGCCTTCCACAAGTCTCTTTGTAATAAAAACATTACTCTTCACTCCTTAAAAACATATATTCTCCTTCTTACAAAAAAATGGCAACAACACCGAAGATGCTGATTCCGACACTATCACCTCTCGGAAGTCCACGGTCCAAAAAACCAACCGATCCAACCTGGCCCGAGATCACACTAGAGCAGCCCTCCGGCAAGACCAAATCAACCGGCTCCAAATCCACAAAACTCCTCCGCCGCGTCCGCTCCGTATTCCGCTCCCTCCCGATCATATCCCCGATGTGTAAATTCCCAGGCACAGGGACACGTGTCCACGAGAACCACGTCCACGGAGGGACACGCGTCACGGGGACCCTCTTCGGTTACCGCAAGACGCGTGTGAACTTAGCGATCCAGGAGAATCCTCGCTCCCTCCCGATCCTCGTGTTGGAGCTGGCCATCCCCACGGCGAAGCTACTGCATGATCTCGGGGTTGGTTTGGTTAGGATCGCGCTGGAGTGCGAGAAGAAGCCTAGCGAGAAGGTTAAGATTGTCGACGAGACGATTTGGGGTTTGTATTGTAACGGGAAGAAGTCTGGTTACGGGGTGAAGAGAGAGGCGACGGAGGAGGATTTGGTGGTTATGCAGATGCTTCATGCGGTGTCGATGGGAGCTGGTGTGTTGCCGGTGAGTGGTGGAGGAGGGCGGGAAGAAGGGGATTTGACTTTTATGAGAGCTTATTTTGAGAGAGTGATTGGGTCGAGAGATTCGGAGACTTATTACATGATGAATCCTGATGGGAATAGTGGGCCTGAGCTCAGTATCTTCTTCGTTCGGGTTTAAAACGTCGTCGTTGCTTAGGTGGAAGTAAAACAAAACTAGACACGTGGATATGTGTGTCTCGGTAAATCATTTTTTCATTTTGCTTTTTGCTAATTTATTTTTCGATTTGGTAATCAATGATTAATTGGTGATGTAATATTTGCTACATCTTCTGTTGCTGTGATTTTGAGGGAAATGTTTGGAGAAGTCAAATCCGAGTAGAGATGATCTTGTAGTTTTGGTATTTTGGGTAATCATTATAGTGAGTGTATCCAATCTAGTTTCGGATTTAGGCTCTAACTAATGATCATATTAAATTGTTGAAACAAATAAAAAAAAAATGAAAAGAAATAAAATAATTAAAATTAGTGAGAATTGTGAGATATACAAAGTACGACATTGAAGAATTAGACGAGAAATGTCTGATAAATATATAAAGAGAAGTCCCTCGTATTTGGGAAATAAACCAAAAGTAAATCCATGTGGATCAGTTTCTAAGGTCTAAACTGGACAATATTGTAATAATAAGATAATATAGAATTGGACATGGGTTTTATTTTTTTTTATTTTTTTTTTTTTGAATGAATGTAAAATTTTATTCAAGCAAAAAAACAGTGTTACATCAAATGCATACATAATTTTCCAACAAAGGAACATAACTGAAAAACAGGATCCAAACCAAAAAAAACCCCCCAAGCTCCCCTCAAGCTAACCATATGACACAAGTCAAGCTTGGAAATGTCATGAAGTTTTCCTCATTAAAACCTCATCAAAGTAAACCCAAATGGGACAAACCTTTGATGAGGAAAAAGAGTAAAAACTCCATGACTAGGAGCAAAAGCACAAAACCCCAAAAAAAACCAAGGAAAACAGGAAATCCCAGCATCATAAGAAGAAAACAAGAACACCTCCAGCCTGCTCTTAAACACGTCAAAACAATCCCAACAAACTCCAACAAAACAATCATCAATCACACGATAGAGACCCAACACCAGGGAAAGAAGAAAAGCCTACAATCTGCCCAGAATCTCCAAAAAAACTCCAGACAACGAGATGCACAACCAACCAAAATGCATCAAAGAATTCCTCCATCACTCCAAATACTTAAAAAGACAGAGAACCACCAGAGTATCAGGAAGCTCTGAACTCAAACCATTTGCATAAACCCTCTTCCAGATATTTCTTCCCCTTACCTTGAACAAGAAGCAATTTCAAACGAATCTGCTTGTCAACTAATTTAATAATAGTGCTATCTTCTTTTGGCATCTCACCATGCCGACGATCATTCCTTTCTCTCCATAAACTATGAGCCAAAGCTTGAAAGGTGTATCGAAGAAGAAACATCTTGGTTGACTTTTCTTCTGGACGAGACATAATATCAATAATCTCATTCCAAACAGCCGTATAGTCTGTGTTCATTAGACCCCCAACAAGTTCTTTCCAAATTTTCTCCGAATATCTGCAAGCAAAAAACAAGTGTTGGCAAGTCTCAGGCTCTTCATGACATAAAACACACGTATCATTGATTGTGGCATCCCATTGCTTAATCCTATCACAGGTATGCAACCGGTTTCTAAGAGCAACCCAAGCGAAGAAAGAATACTTCGGAGTAGAATAAGGGAACCAAATTCCTCTGCTCCAAGGACAAACCGGACGAGAATTCCTCAGATTTAACCAAGTAAACTTCGTAGAGAAATCCTTTAAAAACTTCCCATTAGCGCTCTTCCAAAGAGGTTGATCATCTAAAATGTTTATCCTTTCCTTAACTGCATCAATCTCATCTTCTATTTCATTAAGGAACTGGATCCGGTGATTTCTTCTCCGGTGATGGCAAACAACCTCAGCAATAGTTTCATTTTCCCTAATCCCCAAATCAATACAGCCATGCCGATCTCCAAACAAAGTCTTCAAATATCCCAAACTAGACCAATCATCATACCAAAAATAGGTTCTCCTGCCATTATTGACTTCCATTTTATGATAAGACATAGCAAGATCCTTAATCTTCAGTAATTTCCTCCACATCCAAGAGCCAGCAGCAGATTTAATATTAGTAGACCAAAAAGAACCCTTCCTTATAAGATAGCAATGCACCCAGTTAACCCATAAAGAGGAACGGTTAGAGGTTATTCTCCATATCAATTTAAGACAAAGAACCGTGTTAACTTCTTTAAGCGGCCTTATTCCTAAACCGCCTTCATTCTTTGGAAAGCAAATATCATTCCAACTCACCTTAGCTTTGTTAGTCTTTAAATCAGGTCCAGACCACAAGAAAGCTGAACATAATCTCTCAATCTCCTTTAAGCAACTACTAGGTAGCCTAAAAGCTGAAAGCCAAAAGTTTGCTAAACTTGTAATAACCGAGTTAATAAGCTGCAACCTCCCAGCATGAGATAAAAACCTACCATTCCATAGCTTCATTTTCTTCCTCACTTTATCAATCAAAGGCATGTAATCATTAACCGACATTCTTTTAGAGACAAGAGGAAGTCCAAGATATCTGACAGGAAGTTTACCTGATTCAAAAGGAAATCTGGTGAGAATATCCTTCTCAACCTCATTAGGAATCCCTGCAGTGAATAAAGTAGACTTCTCGAGACTGATTCTAAGACCCGACATAGCAGCAAACCCTTCAAAGATCCCCAACACTTTCTCGATAGATCTCTTAGTGCCATCAGTAAAAACAAGGAGATCATCAGCAAAACTTAAGTGAGTTAACTGAATATTTTTGCATTTCGGATGATAGCCCAACTGATTCCTCTCTGCAGCTCCATCAAGAATGTGAGATAACACATTCATGCAAATTACAAACAAATAGGGAGAGAGAGAACAGCCTTGTCTCAGGCCTCTTTTACTCTGGAAAAAGCCAGCAAGCTCCCCATTAACCTGAACCGAAAAAGAAGGAGTGCAGATGCATAATTCAATCCAGCGGACAAATTGATCCGGCATGTTGAGAGCACGTAAGGTGTTAAGCAGAAACAACCAATTTACTGAATCAAAAGCTTTAGCTATGTCGATTTTCATTGCACATCTTGGAGAGACATCCTCTTTGTGATAATCCTTAATGATCTCAGTCGCAAGCAGTAGATTTTCCACTAATAATCTGTCTTTAACAAAAGCAGATTGATTGGGAGAGATGCATTGAGGAAGAATACCTTTGAGCCTGTTAGCGATGATCTTAGAAATGACTTTGTAAAGCACATTGCAGCAAGAGATCGGTCTATAATCTTTCATCTCTACTGCATTATTCTTCTTCGGAATGAGAGCTAAAATAGTAGTATTGAGACCCTTGGGAAGGAAGCCTTTACTGAAAAAAGACTTGACTGCAGTGGTGAGATCTTTACCGATTATGCTCCAAGCAGTTTTGAAGAATTCAACAGTATAACCGTCAGGACCAGGCGCTTTATTACTAGGCATTTTAAAAATCACCTCTTTGATTTCTTCGTCAGTAACTGTCTTGATCAACAGATTTCTTTCTTCTTCAGAGCAGCGAAATTTAATAATCTCTTGCAGCTCAGCAACCTCTACATTTACAACTTCATTCGGCTCATAAGTAAGAAAATCCATAAAGAACCTTTCAGCTTCATTCTTGATATCCTCATGAGTTTTCGCTATCCTACCAGAAGGACATTTGATTTCACGAATCGTATTCACCATAGTTCTCATCTTTGCAGCGTTGTGGAAAACTTTGTTATTTTTATCTCCAAGATTCAACCAATGCAGTTTAGACTGCTGTTTAAGAACCTTCTCCTCAATAGCAGAAATTCTGCTCCATCTTTCTTCAATATCGAGCTCCTCTTGAATATTAGTAAGAGTAGGATCAAGAAAGAGCCTTTCCTGCATTATACAAAGCTCCTTATAGACATCCTTAACACGCAGAGATAAATTTCCCATCTTCTTCTTACTTAAACTCCTCACCAAAGGTTTCAAAGCTTTTAGACTTTTCGAAAACCGGAAGAGCGCTGAAGTAGACTGAAACAACGGTTGTTGAACCTTCCAATAATCTTCTAACATCTGTAGAAACTCTGGCATTTCAGCAACAGCATTCGTGAATTTAAAAGGCCTTCTTCTCCCCTCTGCAACAGCTTTCAAATGGAATCTTCCACGTAAGTGATCAGAGCAACCTCCTGCTTCAAAAACTCCATACGTTTGCGTACTTTGATGTAACCAGGTATCATTTATAAGAAAACGGTCCAATTTCTTGCAAATAAGGCCCTCTGTTCGCTTGTTGCACCAAGTATATTTAGGACCCTGGCAGCCCAAATCAGTGAAGTTACAATACTGAACAATGTTTTCAAACTCCCTCATCCCAGCATTACTGCTCCCAGAATCTAAATAACTCGAATGCTCATCTTCTTCAAGAATCTCATTAAAATCACCCATTAAAATCCATTGCTTATTTCTGAATAAGATCGAATCCTTATGAATCTTCATATCACTCCAGAGCTCCCTTCTCTCCTCCATAGTATTCTCGGCATACACAAAAGAACAAAAGAACTCTTCTGTCTCACCCTCCACACGAACAGAAACTGTTACCATCTGACTAGATTTGAAGACCGGCGTCAAACAAACATGATGATCCCACATTACCCAAATTCTTCCTTTACGACTAAACTCATAATTGTCAATAAATGACCAACCTTTGAACATATCAGACCCAACCTGCTGAGCTTTCTTCTCTTTTACTCTAGTTTCCAATAACCCTCCAAAGTGTAAATCATTAGTGTGAATCCAATTACGAACGACCTCCTGCTTAGATCTTTTGTTGAAACCTCTCACATTCCAGAAAAAACCAGTCATTGAGAAAGATTTATGTTACTTCTCTTACCTGTAAGCACAGGCTTCTCTTTAATAACTCTATGAAGCGTCTTTGATCTCCTTGGTAAAGAAGGTCTAAGTTTCGAAGCACTTGCCAAATCCGGCCAATTTTCTGGAGTATTTTGTATACCAGCAATCCCCTGAATTTTTGTTTCCACAACCTGTTCTTTATCTTCATTAACTTCTACTAAAATACTAGCATTCTCCCCTTTAATATCCTCCTTCTCATCTTGCTTATTTATTTCATCCTCTTTAATACTTTCTTTTCCAGCACTCAGAATTTCTACAGTCTCTCCCAACTCTTTCCCTGACTCTATAATATCAGCAATTTCTTCTTTTCTTTCCCCCTCAACTAGCTTATCTCCCTTTTCATCAACCTCCAGCAAAGGCGAGAACCGAGATGGTGTTAAGATTTGCACCTGACCATATTT